TTGAGAGTGGCAACCTTCGGAGCATAAAGAAGCAAAGTGCAGTCTTGCTCCTAGCCTGACCATGGTGAAGCTATGACAAATCAAGGAAGAGCAGGAGCAGATGACGAGTGCCCTGGGCACCTCATGGGAACAGGGGGCTCTAATGGCAATGACCCACCTGGGACCAGCAGCGCAGGTACCTGGACACTGCCTTGCGGGATGTGTTGTTCCTCATGAGCTCATCGTCCTTGCAGGGCACCTTGGCCAGCAGCTGCTGCACCTGCACTGGGCTGGCGTTGGCAAAGCCCACAAACTTCTCAGGATCCACGGAGCTGCTGAAAGCGCAGATCAGGCATTTGCCATCCAGGAGGGTGATCAAGATCCAGACGACAGGGGCAACCGTGGCTCGCTGCATGATGGAGAAACACATGTACCTGGGGCAGACGAGAGAGAAGCAAGTGGGTAAATGCTGGGAGCTTTCTCCTCATCCAGAGCCTCGATGGATGCAGGCTGCCCTATGCCAAGCAGCCCTCTCTGAGCCAGGGAGCTGACTCCCAGGACTGTTCCCAGCATTGCTCCAGCTAATGCCTCTTGTGCTTTGGGATCTCTCTGTTGATGCTGCCTCACAGAGAAATCTGAGCCAGTGCTCTGTGTGCTGCCTGCATTCAATGCAGCTCGTGGTCCTTTTGTTATGTTCTTGCCTCAACTCTATACTCATGCCTCCTATGCACAAATCCTTGTCAGCTCTCCCTTGTCTTCTTCATTCGCTCTTTCTTTTGTCTGCAGCTCAGTTTCTACCTGGAAAATTGCTTTTCTCTGCAGCCTTTCTTGTCTCACTCTGCACTGGGTAAAACTTTTGATTGAATGTGATTATCCTCTCCATTCCACCAGTGTAAGTCAGTAAAAACTCAACTGAAGGAAGGAAAACCACAAGGCTATCGATAAAGAATGACCATGATGGAAATGCCATTCTTTCTGCCCATTTAACTGAAAATGCCTCATTTTTTTTCACGTATAAGCCCCAGGAGAATCCCTGTGTGTACACAACAGGGCAGGCAGCAATGCAGTTTCTCAGGGTGGCAGCATAAATCCAGGATAAATACAGGCGTTGGTGTCGAGGCGCTCCTGCCCTCCTTTGCTGGGATGGTATGAGCCTCTGCCTTTGCTTTTGCTGTTGTAAATGCATCTACCATGCCCCTTCCCCTCCCGGCTCATGGGAAAAGGTCTCAGGAGCTGAGCTTAGAAGAAAACTAATTACCAGGAGGATCAAAGCTATGGAGGCGAGACAGCTAAGCAGGAGGTGAAAGAAGGGGCACCACTCCCAGTGCAAACCCCACCTGATGACAGCCAGGTCCTTCTTTCTGCGCCCCTGCGGTCGCCTCCACTCCTCCAGCATCACCAGGGACTGCCTGTTGAGGATGAGGCCGCAGAGGAAGAGGGCGACTGGAGGTACGAACATGATCCCCAAGCCGTATGCCACGTTGTACCAGGGCAGACAGGGGCAGCTGAAGTCAAAGCAAGTATACATCTTTACGCTAGCCAGGGCTAACAGCCCACAGATCCCATTCATTACAGACTCCGAGTTGGACTGGAAGTACTGGAAGATCATCCGGAAACGATCCATCGTGTTCTTTTGCCCAAGGGTGCTCCTCTTGGGAAATCCCAGGGCTGCCTGGAACAGCCTGTCTCCCTTCACCCCTCTTCTGCTACCGTGGGACGCAGCTCAGCCCGCAGTCAGTCAAGGCAGGAGGATGGGGATGGAAGAGAGCTGCTGTGGCAGGGGAAATCCTATGCTGGGCCTTTCCCACTGGCACACAGCTCTCACAGGTCTGCCTCTCACCCAATGCTTATCTTCCAGGGCAGTCGGTAGCTTTTCTAGGTGAGCAGATGGATACGGCCTCCGGCAGCTGTTTTTTCTGCCCCGTTTTTCATTGTCAGGGCTGTCCCACGTGCCAACCAGTGATAGCCTCCGGTAGTGCTGGGTCCCTCCCTCCCAGAGATGCTAGCTCTCAATGGAGAACCTTTGGCGGATGCCTGTGAGCTGCCCTCTAGCTGATTCAGGGCTGTTGAGCATTTCATGGGCTGGGAGAAACCAGGCGAGTCAAATAAGCTCATCTGCATTACTGCTGCCGCCCCGTTTCTTTTTGGTGAAGCAGGTCCCCAGCCCTGAGTGGGGCAGAGGGAGGCAGGGAGCACACACCTGGCCCCGAGCACCCCACTGAGCCACCAGCTCTGATTTCCATATGAAAATGGGCTGAAAGGACCAACCCTTCCATCAGGAGGCTGTGAGAATTGATAGGTTTCAAAGCCTGGAATGGCACTCTGGGGCAAAGGCTGCTCTCGGCTATGTACGTACCGTGACATTTGTGCCGCACCTACATCCGTGTCCAAGGCCCTTGCTCTGGGGCTCCTTCTTGTTCCCTGTCAGAGAGAACGGTGCAATCAGAGCAGCTGGCTCATTTGTCCCATGGGACTGGGTTATCATCTTCTGCACATTTTAAATATCCCAGAGGCAATTCTTCTTTTCCTCTCAAAAGTTTATTTTACAGATAAATACAGCTCATTTCCACACAAGGAAGCTCAGGTTTTTTTCTGACACATTCGACATCATTTTCCTCTCTCAGCTTTCATCTGAAAACACTTTCAGATTTCTTCTCAGCTCAGGTTTCCACACGTGTTCAGGAAAGGTGGAAAAAAAAGGGTGCTACTTTTAAGTTTTTGTTAAAAAAGAGAGGACCTGTCTCCACCGAAGTACGCTTGCTGCCAGTGCTGAGGTTTCTGCCCATGCTGGCTCCCATTGCAGGGCTGGTTCCCTTGATGGGATCGCACCAACAGGCAGCAGTGGGGAGGGGTACCTGTAGATGCTCACAGGCACATGCAGTGGGTGTGCAACACACACTGACTCGCAGGACCATGGTGTCATCTCCTCCCATCTAAACAGCAACTTGCACAATTATTTTAATGAAATACAATTGCACCAACCATAATATTTGTGTTCTCCTTTACCCGCGAGTAGAAATGACTGTTAACGTTAATCCATCAGCAATAAAACCCTGTGGCTGATCAGCTAATGTTTCCATTTTGCTGTTTCAGGGCATCAGGACCGCTGGCTGAACTCCACAGGTGATTTTTAGCCATGGTGCAGCCTGTCTCGGTTTCCAGCTGCTTTAATGCTCCTCGGGTTTCTCATTTCACAGCTTGCGTTTATGTGCTGACTCGGGTTCAGAAAGCGTAGAACAATTACTTTAGAGAAATCGTTTTGCCTTTCCAGCTCTCCTGGGCAAAAACATAGTAAAGGCTAAATAGTTCCTCACAGCTCAGGCAAATAAGATGTAAAAAGAGCAGGAAGCATCCTCTGGACAGCACCCGCTAAAAGGGAATTTTACTTCTCCCAAACGCAATCGCTTGGCCTGGATGTTAGAGGTCTGTAAAGAATGTCTCGGGGTAATTACTGTGCTCTGTTGTGAATTCAGATCTCACCAGTGACTCAGAGCTGAGACATGGATAAAGGGAATATTCCTTAATTTGTGGCAAAAGACATTGGGGGAGAAAGAAAAGGACTCTTGAGGTAAGTAAATTGCTAGACATGGTCAAATGTTCAAAATGATTCTCAAAACTAAGCACATTTGATTACTCAATTCTTAGGATGAAACAAGGAGGAAGTAAGGACTAAAATCATCTGTCTCCTCTCCTCCAGCAAGGCGACCTGCCCCATGTCCCCAGCAGTGTAGTCACCCTCTGAGCCTGCTGCAAGGCTGCCTACAGCTCCCCAGGGTGTTGGACCAGGGCACTGTCCTCACAGGAAAGCAGCTGCTCCTTGGCAGCAAATCTCCAAAACCACGCTGGAAGCTGTTGTTCCTCTGCGCATCTTTTGGATATCCACATCAGACAACCCTTTGCTTTTGCCTCAGCACCACAGATCATGGGGAGAGGAAGGAGGACATCCTTCCCCGCTCCTTTATGGGAGTAAAATACCAGCCGTAGGCTTTTTGCCTTGGCTGATGGAGACAGTGGAGGGTGCAGGTGTGGGAAACCCTCTCCTGATAGGTGAGAGCCCTTTTGGTGCAGCACAGCCATGAGTCCCTCTTGCTTTGGGGAAAAGGATGATTTTATCACCAAAATTTGAGTTGGTCATTTAAAATAGGACAAATTTAGCAGAATGGTACAGTCGGTTTTGTACATGAGCCTGCAATGCCGGAGCAGCGCTGATGCTGTGCACGCAGCGTGTGTGCCTTTGGGATGTGTATATATCCAGAGCAAGCCTTTACACATATATTTAGGTGGAGAGCAGAGAGCCAGCAGGGCAGGCCCAATGAGTCTGGGGCTGTGCCCTCGATCTGTGCCACCAGTTCCACACTCCCTGCTGGGTTGGTCCCTGAGGGACGGAGGCAGGAGCACTGCGCATGTGCCAGTAACCCCACTTGCTCCCTGGCCTCCCCTAAACCCCAGCGATGCGTGAGCTGCTGGGGATATGGGCTGCTTTGTCACACTTTGGTCTCCTCTTTCTGTGCTGAGACTGCACTCTCTTTTCCCCAGGAAAGCCAGTGTCCAGCAGCAGGCGTTTCACCCGTCTGGGAGCTTGTTCTGCTGGAAACAGGCCTTTGCCATGAGCACTTGTCCTGGCAGCAGGCAAGGGCCCCCGGGGCTCTGACGGGAACGGTCCTGGCCCATGGCATGGGAGATGATGGGTTACCTCATTAGGAACCGTTTGCAGTTGTTTATAACTTTGACAAATTATTTAATTACCCAGACTGAAATGTTTCTATCTTGAACGTCTCCCTCAGGCAAAATATTTTTAGAAGACTGTTACATGGGTTGGTCAGCTGCTCCTGGGATGATGTAAAGGCACAAAAAAAAGGGACTTATTTTCCCTGTTAAAAACAGGGAGTTGTGCAATTGATCTGCAAAGGCACAGCAACGCTGACACCTGCCTCGAGAGCGCAGCGGTGACTGCCCTGCTCCCAGCGGGTGTTGCAGTGGGAGTCCCCCCACCTGCACTGCAGGAGGCTGAGTTATCACCCCGCTCCCTTTTGTGCCTCTGTTGCTGGCTGTGGAGTTACCCGGGACAAACCAGGACGCAGAACTGGCCCAGCATGTTCCCAAACTGCAGGAGACGGCTATGAAATTAATTTGTCTCTGAATGTCTCTTCCTTCCTAATTCCTTGGCTCATTCATTGTCACATGGGGATGCCACCTCCACATAGTGTTTGGTTAAAACAAGCACTGTATGGCCACAGGAGCAGGTACTAAGCAATGTGTGTCCCTCACCTCAGTTTCCCTTTACGGGGTAAGTGTGGATCCACCTGGACCCTCACGCTGGGTGGTGGGAGGATGAATAAGTGAATCACTGCGTCCCTGTGGTGTGAGAGCAGTCATGTTCTCCCAAGTCACCACGGGAGAGCTGTGATCCAGTCTCTGTTTTCTGCTGGTGAATTGGAAAACCTCTTCCACCTGGCCATGCTTATTCAGAGGACAAGAGCTGATGCTTTTTCAAGGCTTAGAGGAAATACATAATCTTGTGTTTAAGTGAAGGCCATTAACCCCATAAATAAATTTTACCAGTGACAGTGCCTGCAGACCCATATCTTGTTCCTCTGCAGTTCAGGTGGACCTGTTGCTAACCCTGGGGCACACAGGTAGACATTCCTGAGAGCCTGTCCACGCTTGACCAGCGGATCGCAACTGAGCTTTGTTTTCTATTACCTTTTTCAGACAGTTTGGGGACCAGTCTCCCACTGATATCTGAAGACAGTGGAGCAGCATCATTGCCTTATTTCTTTGCAAAGCTGGCAGGGGATTGTACCCCTCATTGCCTGGAAATCTTTCGGCATCTTCAACTTATAACAGCAGAAATCACTTTTCATTTCAGCTGCCCATGGAGAAGGACATAGGCAGTATTTCCTCCCACCAAACACTATACAAACTCCTGATGGTTACTGGCAGCAGAGACAAATTAAAGCACCGTTGGCTTCACGGGGCAAGGACCACCTGAATCTGAGTATTTTTACACAGCTGAGTACTCTGCCTAGGCTAAGCAAATAACCAGTAATGACCATTAAATGATTAATGAGATGCTAGCAAAAGTAATAGCAGCATTGTGAAATGTAGTTTGTCTTCTCTAATAATATTCTTTGGAGATTATATACTCCTGTGTTCTGCCTTGTAACTTCATTAAAGCACCAATGTGCAGCTGACTGCCAGTAAGAAAATATATGGCTTAGTTATGTGTTGTTCTTCTCATTATATATTGCTTTCCTGGCCATTAGCACTTAGCTTTTTGGCTTACGTGGAAGCCCTGTTTCCTGATCTCTGCATTATCCCAACCTTGACCTAATTCACACCATTTTTGACTCAGAGAGCTTTTTGCAAGGCCATTTATCTGCTTGTTTTGGAGCTGATGCTGCAGAGAAATCATTTGAGATGGAGTCTCTTCTCATCTTGAGAGTGAATTAGGGAAGAAGATGGAGAATTAGGGAATCAGGCTGATGTCTTAATATCTCGGCTCAGTGATTTTCAGACTTTTTCTGATTTGCTAACGCTCGCATATCTTCCAACAGAGGTGCAGGCTCCAGATAGCAGATTTAAGGCTGCTGACATTTAACTAGCTTTTCTTGTTATTTTTCT